TGCTGGCAGTGGCTGGCATCTTTTTTCAAAAACGCTGGCAGAGAAAGAGTTAAAAAGAAAGAACTGAAATATCACATGCAACTGAAATAATATGCACAAAAATGCAGCTTTATAGGGTATGGAGTGTAGATGGATGTGAAAAAAATTTAATAATATAAAGCATTTTAAATCTACAACACAAAATAAGTGAGTTTTTCTGAATGCACTGTACCTTTTATTTTGGGCAGAAATGGGGCCGGACATGTTTGCATGAGATTGATCCAAAAGCAATTTGGTTTCCACACGTTCCACATAGATGAAATCCCTTCTGATAGGACCCAAATAAAACACTTTCTGTCCCTTACACACACTCATACACACACACATGAACTGCTGAAGTCCCTGACGGTAAGGTTAGCGTTACTTGCACTAACACACAGTCTTGTATGTAGACCCCGAGTCCTGCACACAAAGACCCACATTTAGAGCCAGAACCACCAGCCAGAAGGAAAAGGAACAACTCCAAACAAGACACTAATGAGAAGGTCAGTGCTGTAAACACACACAAACACATACTCACAGGTGAGAATCAAGGACACTGCAGGTGAGAGGACTTCTGTACTAACCCATGCACAAACACTGTGAGACTAACACTCGAGTTTCTCTTCCAGGTTTCCACATGGCACCATATTTGTGGCCTAGTTGTATTGGAAATGATTGTATCGCAAGTGTGGTTATACGTAGAACATTTTCAGAAATATGGGAGAATATCTGTCTATCTGTCTGTCTGCTTATGCACACAATACTGTTCAAAAGTTTAGGGTCAGTAAGATTTTTTTAATGTTTTTGAAATTAAGTTTCTTGAGCTCACCAAGGCTGCATTTGTTATATCAAAAATGCAATAAAATGTTTTAATATTGTGAAATAGTATTCAAATTTGAAATATCTGTTTTCTATTTGAATATATTTTAAAATGTAATTTATTCCTGTAATGCAAAGCTGAATTTCCAGCATCATTACTTCAGTCTTCAGTGTCACGTGATCCTTCTGAAATCATTCTAATATGCTGATTTGCTGCTCAAGAAATATTTTTTATTATTATCAATGTTGAAAACATTTGCTTAATATTTTTCTGGAAACTGTGATGTTTCAGGATTTAGTTTTTCAGGATTATTTGATGAACAGAAATTTCAAACCACATTTATTTGAAATAGAATTTTGAACTTGTGCAGCATTATAAATGTTTGTTTCTTTTGCTGAATAAAAGTATGAATTAAACAAAATTCTTACGGACCCCAAACTTTTGAACAGTAGTGTATTATTTTATTATAAACAGAATATAAATGTGATTTTTGTAAGCATGTAAATAATGTATTTATGTATGTGGTGCAAGGGTTGGGTTAAACAGCCACTTGACGGTTTATTTTGTTGAATCTGTGTGCCATTTTTATTTTTAACACACACCAGACCAAAGTTAAACCAGATTTGTTTTGTTTTGTTTGCATGGTTTCATTCTCAATGATGCTTTCACACTGAGCTGGTTGCGGTGTGATTGAGGTCATTCAAATGACTGGACACTCATTTCATCACCATCTATTTGAGTTTATGTTGGAGTGCTGCGGTCATCATAGAAACGGTTACAACACACTCACACATACATGAACACCCCATGTCTTCATCCGGCTAACACACATATATACACATCACTTTAATACACATCACAACCCCTTAAATCCTCCCTTTAGTATCTACAGTCTTAGGATTCTCTTTTCCATTGTGATTCCATTTCATCCTCCTTTTCTTTCCCAGCCGTGTGTGTCTGTATGTAGAGAAGCTTCTAGGGTGACCAGATGGCCGTGATAGAAAACTGCTCTGTCCTCCCACGTTTTATATGCGGGAAACTAGAGTTCAAATCCATCCCACTGTAAAAGTTCATGTTTTTGTTTTAATTCACAAACATCTGGGATAAAATCCAGTGGAAAGCAAATGTTTTGTTGGCCTAAAGTCATTGTTTTTAAGATGACTGGCAAAGTTAAGTGTTTGCCAGATTAAAGAAAAGCGAGTCCGCTAAATGTGTAAATGAAAATAATTAAATTATATCATGAGTAGGTTTGTTTTAACGACTCAATACCTGCACAATAATCACATTTATTCCTCAAGGTGGCACTGTTTAATAGGCAATGATTGCGTGATGTTTCACTCATAATTACCTCAGGCATAAAACAAAAGAATATCATCAGCAGTATTGAACCTGACTGAACTGCTTGAATGGCTTTTACTGCAGAGCAATTACTGTAGGCAATTAAAACAAGTGTCACTGTCATTTGATGGTGGATGTGGTGAATAAGCTGCCATCAATCACAAAATTGATTTCTAAAGTAATTGAAAATGATATTTTTGAGAATATGGTTGAGATCGCGAATATGAGCCAGATTATGAATGTACTGTGGAAGTGCGCTCTAACGATGACAGTGATGGCAAAAGCATCTGCTCAGATTGAACCCTTTGATGTTTCAAAAGGTAACAAAATTTGCTTCATTTTATTCTTTTGTAATTATTAAAATACGAGGAGAGTTTTATGCTATTGCAGCAGTTCGAGATCCATCCACGTTGGATAGCTATATAGGCCCAGGGTGCTAAAGATCTGAATATGTAATAATGATTGATTGGTTAAGCATTCTGAACAAAAATGTGTCACTGTTTCCACAAAAATATTAAGCAGGACAACTGTTTTCAACATTTATACTAATAAAAAATGTTTCATAAGCAGCAAATCAACATTACAATGATTTCTGAAGGATCAGGTGACACTGAAGACTGGAGTAATGATGCTGAAAATTCATATTTCCATCACAGGAATAAATTACATTTTAAAATATTGTAACAATTTATGGTATTTTTAATCCAAGGGAATGCAGCCTTGGTGAGCATAAGGGATGTTTTTAAAAAAAACATTATCTAGTGTGACATAATGGTGAATAAATAATGGCAGTTTTTATTTTTGGGAGAACTTTACTTTTAAATGGTTCGGTTAGAGTTTTACTCCTTTTTATTTGTCTTCAAGAAATGACACAAAACCTCCTAGAGCAACTTTAACTATTAACACATTCACTCCTAAGCACTACATTTTTATGCTCTTTTCACTGTTGTGTAGCTATTCAGTTTTTTAGCCTTGTTGGCCTACTCTTCAATTTCGTAACTACGTATTTGCACAGTTCTGAAGTCACCGTCTCTTTAAGATGAAGTGCTTGTTCTAGTAACACACACACTTCCTGTTCTCAGGTCAAACTAGTTAGTTTCTCACACTGATGGTCTGGTGTGTTAGGGCAGTGGATGACAGGCTGTTTGCACTTTCTCACGGCTGGCCTGCTTCTCTGCTCTTCCAGGATGGAGGCACCAGAGGACGCCGCAGTGCCATTGAGGCCGATATGAAGATGAAAAAGTGAACTGAGATGTCACACTGCAGCTGTTACGGAAGTTCAGATAGGCTTTGTTTCCCTGTTTTGTTAAGACGTTCTGGCTAAGTTTAGTTACTCAATGCCTCGGTGGCTTGACGCAGCAATTCGACAGTCTAATTACAGAAGGACACAGAAAGAAGGGAATTTTTTTCTTGACCCTCTTTCACAGAAACCCTTCAGTCCTAGACCTGAAAAACTGGTCAAGTGTGCTCTGATTCTAGACTCACAGGACAAACTGACCTTGTGTTTATTTGAGTTTAGGAGTTGCTTAAAAGTTTTTGACTTGATGTCACAAATTTAGCTGTCATCACTGGCCTTTTTAAGAAAAAGCTGAATGTACCACCGTCATGACCACTGGATGGTTAGAAATCAGAATGTCATTTTCTAGAGCTAAGAATGAAACCTTACAAGCCATTGTTCAAAACAAAGATTACTATCGGTTTATCAGTTTGAGATGATGTGGAACGCTGAACGACGGAGGAAGGAGCAATAAAAGTACGCTTTTCTTCTATAGGAATGAAGATGGATACAAAGTTTATTTTAACTTGATTTTTGCCTATAGTCAAGATTATGGACGCTTTGGTTTACAGTTAAAGGCCTACTGTACTATCTTCAGTTTGTTTTCGTTCTTTAAGCGAGACTTAATTTGACATGTATGTTTAGAAAGAACATATAGTTTTGTACAGGGTCTTTGTGTACAGTGTTTTTGTATATTGTGTCATGAAATGTTTTAATAAAACATGAGAGTCTGCCATTACAAGATATTGTTTAAGGAATAATTTATTCAACTTGTGCTTTCAAGCAAAATATATTAGTACAAATGCTTAAATGGGAGGACAATACCAGCTTGTCCTGTTCAAAGTCACACACACGCACAAAAAACACTCGATATCCATTAAAGACGTCAGCATATATCAGTGGCGTGATTCATACACAATGTGAACCATCCTATATCCTTGAACATCAGTAAACAATAGTGGGGAATTGAAACTGAACATTCTGCAGTCTCAACACACCCATCATACTCATACAATGATCTGATCTCACGTGCCGGGTCACCTGACAATAGTGTTTGTCACAAACCTCAAGATATGACAATGTAAAATCCCAGGTTATACATGAATACACATTACGGTTCAAAAGCTCTGGGTCAGTGAGTTTTTTTATGAAAGAAATTATTACTTTTGTTCATAAATGCTGTTCTTTTGAACTTCCTGATCATCAAAGAATCCTAAAAAATGTCTATGTAATATAATATTAATTAAATGTAAAAATTAAGCAACAACTGTTTTCAACATAGATGATAATGTTTCTTGAGCACCAAATCAACAGAATGATTTCTGAAGGTTGAAGACTGAAGTAATGCAGCTTTGCCATCAAATACATTTTAAAATATATTAAAACGGAAAACAGTTATTTAAATATTTGTAATAATATATTACTGTATTTTTAATCTAATAAAACAACATTGGTGAGCAAAGAGGCTTGTTTAAAGAAAAATGTATAAATCTTCCAGACCCTAAACGTTCGAATGACAGTGTATAAGCATCAGGTTCTATGTTATAACTATTTGTATGTATATTAATGATATTTTAAGCAAACATAATGCAGTATTATAACAGCTGCTCATACTGTGTTAGAAATTTCAGTTGCACAATATCACCTTCTTTGATTGAACGTTATCATTTACGTTTTTAAACACCATTCAGTGAACTCTGAAATACACTGATGTAACAACAGTTATAATAATAATAATAATGTGCAAAATGAGCTTTTCCTAAAGTTGTCCTCTTCCTCTAAGACCTCAGGCATTGTCTTCTCCTTTTTACTCTTAATACCAAACTTTTAATAAAACTCAAGTACAGTAGGAGTGGCGGACGAGTAGAGCTTCCGCTTGATCAGCCGATATTCCCGTCTGAGGCTCAAGACCTTCCCGCTTCTGAACAGGATCTTCAGCGGAGGCCATCCACCCAGATCAGGCTGCAGGACCACCGAGACCTCAAAAGTGGGTGTGAGACTCTGATCAGGAATGACGGTGCCCAGTTTCAGTAGTGTGCCCTTGCTTTCCATGAACATGTGGATCAGCGCGCCTCGTATCCCACATGGCTCATCCATGGATGAGCGCAGGATGTCTCCGGTCACGCGTGCGGTCATGCGCCTGGGCAGACGCAGCTCCTGACAACTCAGACTGGCTCCTTTGGCCTCATAGAGGCACTTCTCAATGCGTCTGGCCAGGTCGAATTGAAGACACGCGTCTTCTCCTTCCAAACTGCACTCGGATCCCAGACCTGTGAATGAGTAAATAGGAAGAATGCGTCAGACTCAGCTGACCGGACAGGAACTTTACGCCTCAGCAGTTTGAGAGTGACCAGTGGCTCATTAGATTAGGATAAAAAAAAAAAAAACTAACACCATCAGCCTCTGACACAGTATCATCAGCTGATCCAAGGACTTTAGTGGGCAGAATGAATATGTTGCAATTTTGGAAAACTATATCCCTGCTCATAAATAATCACCTGTCCGATCTAAAAGCTTTTGAACATTAAAAGAAAGGTTTAATACACTATAAGGGGTAAGTTGTCACAATGGGGATATTCAGTCATTTTCAAAATATATAAAAATAAAATGTAGGCCAACACAAAACACGTGACTCAACCTGACATCAGTGCTCATTGGACTATTAAGATGGCCTTTGCTTCAGTGTCATCCTGTTTTTTTAAGTAAAATATATAAATGTAACATTTGTGAGCTAGGTTATTCCAAATCAACGTGCAAAACCAAAACTTTTGTTACTGAGACAGAGCGCCTAGCTGTGACAACTTGACCCGAGTTCTCTTACAATAGATGATTTAGACAGGAATAGGATACTTACTTGAAGAGCTGTGTGCTTTCATGAGTCTGCCGCAGTGTTTGAGTTCGTCTCTGTCTGATCTGAAGTGCTGTAGAAAGCTCAGGTTCTCAGCTAGGTTTTCCTGCTCGCTCCTGACGGACATCCCGTTCCCGAACACGAGGGCTTGAGTATAGACCATGTTAACGTGATGTCCTCCGAGTGTTTCCCCGACAGCTCGCCCAGCTCTTCCACTGAGTGTTTCTTTGTTCCTTCCATGAATGCGAGAGGCTGAATGTGTTGCTCTTCTGACGGCAGCCGGTTTTATACTGAGCTGTAATGTTGCATCAGCTGAAGTTTGTGGGATGGGCTACATTACGCAATCCCAAGAGAGGTGAAGTCATCAGACCAGACGCCGAGAGTACATGCAACCGAACCGGCTTCTTGCGTTTATGTTATATTATATTATATTATATTATATTATATTATATTATATTATATTGACATATTAAGCAAACAGTTGACAAATAAACATGAACATTAACTTTCTGGATTATATTTTGTATATTTCTATTATGGCATTTTAATATTTTACGATAATCTGGGTGGTCACTATTTCTTTTTCCACATTTTTAAATCACCTTTAAGTTTTATTTGTTTGTTTGTTTTATTTATTAACCATGCGGTAACCTATTTTTCTAGTATTTTCTTTTTCTTTTTCAACAATTTTAATCATTTGAATTACTTCCATCTGGTCGACGTTTTCGTACTCCAATGTCTAGATATAGCCGTTATAAAAACTCTTTTGTTCCTTTGGCTACAAGGCTGTTAAACTCTAATTCAGGGGACACAACTGTGTGATTGTTATTACTGATGTTGGTACTTTGTTGTGCAGTTTTACCTGTATTGCCCAAAACAAATTCCCCTCATGAGGGACAAATAAAGTAAATATTGATTTAATGTTTAAAACACAATATTTATTATACTATTATTTATTTAGTTTACATGTAGTATATTAGGTCATAAACATGGCTAAACTGCTTTAATCAGTGCAGACCATTATATATTATATTATATTATATTATATTATATTATATTATATTATATTATATTGACATATTAAGCAAACAGTTGACAAATAAACATGAACATTAACTTTCTGGATTATATTTTGTATATTTCTATTATGGCATTTTAATATTTTACGATAATCTGGGTGGTCACTATTTCTTTTTCCACATTTTTAAATCACCTTTAAGTTTTATTTGTTTGTTTGTTTTATTTATTAACCATGCGGTAACCTATTTTTCTAGTATTTTCTTTTTCTTTTTCAACAATTTTAATCATTTGAATTACTTCCATCTGGTCGACGTTTTCGTACTCCAATGTCTAGATATAGCCGTTATAAAAACTCTTTTGTTCCTTTGGCTACAAGGCTGTTAAACTCTAATTCAGGGGACACAACTGTGTGATTGTTATTACTGATGTTGGTACTTTGTTGTGCAGTTTTACCTGTATTGCCCAAAACAAATTCCCCTCATGAGGGACAAATAAAGTAAATATTGATTTAATGTTTAAAACACAATATTTATTATACTATTATTTATTTAGTTTACATGTAGTATATTAGGTCATAAACATGGCTAAACTGCTTTAATCAGTGCAGACCATTATGGGAATATTATAGCATTATTATTATTTATTTTATTGTGTTATTTATTTATTGTATTTTACTTATTTTCCCACAATTTTTAATCAACTTTGAACGTTTTTGAAATTCACTTAATTGGTCCTACAATATTAATTTATTCATTCATTCAACTGTTTATTTGTTTGTTTGCATGCAGTTTCTCAAATAATTTGAGATCATAAACATTACTAAACTACTTTCATGTGTAGCAGACAATTATGGTATGTACTATATAATTTTACCCCATTTTTTGTATTTTATTTACAACTTCTTTTTCCACAATTTTTAAGCAAACTTTAATGTTTTTGAAATTCAAAAAGTAGTCCTGCGATCTTTATTCATTCATTCATTAAATTATTTATTTATTTGTTTGTTTGTTTACATGTAGTTTCTCAAATAATATGATATCCTAAACATTACTAAACTACTTTCATCCGTAGCAGCCATTTATGGGAATATTATATATTTTCCCCCCATTTTTGTATTTTTCTTTTTGCACAATTTTTTATCTACTTTTACCTTTTTTCCAAATTCCCTAGTCCTGCGATGCTTCCTTGCATATTTATTTATTTACTTACTTATTTTACATGTAGTTTCTCAAATAATAGCCTATTACAGACAATTATGGGAATATCACTTTTTAGACCCTTGGTTAAAAATAACAGTTACAAACACTGAAACAACATGGAACAAAATAATTAATATCCTAATAATTTATCAATGAGACAATGAAATTTAGTGTAAAGGTTAGTGACCTTTAAATAAACAGAAGTGCCCATATATGTCTTAATCATTGTGACAGGTGATTCAAATTGACATCACACATGCACATAAATGCTGATGGATAGAACAAGTATGTGCTGTACTAAAAATGTAATTTCTAGAAAGTGATTCAGATGGTGTGAGATGAGGTGAGACTCACATGACCAGAGAAAGACAAACATGCGGTCAGTAAAATCCAGTTCAGCAGCCTTCTCTATGAAATGCGTATGACCCAGGAAACACATTTACACTCTTATTACAATCACTCGTTGAAGCCTAATACTTCAAATTACATTGAATTAATAAACAAACAGAACCTTTTTACCTGTTTAGTTCCTGTTTAGATTTGCTTAATTTACAGCTTTAACTTACTTTTCTTTAACATTACGTTTCTTTTTCTGACAGTTTTCACACAGAACTGTCTTAATGAAGTAAATATAAACCAAAAGAAAGCAGATCTGTGACTTAAGTCTGTCTGATCTGCTGCAGGTTTGATCTGGAAAGTGCTTTTACAGTTTTACTGGCGTCATCAGCAATTGTCTGTTTGCTGTCTGTCTGCTGAGTCACGATGAGGGACTTTTCCTCTTGACCTCACCTTTGTTCTCTGTCATTAACCAACCGGTCGCGCTGTGACATCCCACTGCCCCACTCAAGCATGCAGAAGTGGAGAATCATCTTACGATATATTACAATGAGGAACTAGAAGAGACTTCTGTAGAAGCACCTTCCAGAAGTTATGTAAATGAGGGGAGAATAAATGAACCACAGATCTCATATATGTTTTACTGAGTGGGTGAACGAGGAAGGAAAAGTAAACTATTTGGAAACCTTTGACCATGGAGTGCTTTCAGTGACATACAGAAAATGGTTGTGTGTCTTCACTGAATCAGCTGTTAAGACAATACATTCATGTGACCTTAGACTAGACTTATTTCAACAATGTGTTTTGAAATATTTGAGTTTTTTCCTCCTTTCTGGTTCACAGCTCCTCACCACTCTTTGTTGATTTTGATCACAAACAGATGATAATGAAACTCGTGATGGTGCATACATTACTGTCAAATCAAAACCTGATGGACGTGTATATGGATCACTTCATAGGAAAACCCTCAGTCTTTTTCAAACATAATTATTCACTATAAAAAGATGATCAAATGTGCAGAGAGATAAACCATCCATAAACTTAACACCTTAGTTTTCATTTATCATCTGAGTGCCAAATTACATCAGTTCAGCTGCAGAAACCTGATGGACTAGTATATTACTTCATAACAAATATTGCTCAGCTAAATTGCTCAGCTTCAGGGTAAGCACTTTATAGATGATAATTTCAAATAAGCTATCTCAACTGGATAAGACATTTGATCTGTGGATAAATGTTAGATTTAAACATGTTAGTCATGGAGCAGTGTAGTGATTCAGCTTAAATGATCATTCCCATCTCCGTCATCATGACTTGTTTAAACTTGTTTCTCTCATTCAGTGTAATTGTTCTTCCGCAGGACATGGAAAGTAAAACAATCGGTCAGAGGAGAGCTGTTTCACTGGTAGAAGCAAGGAATTTTTCGACAGCATTTATTGAGAATAAATCGTTCTTCAGTAAGGGGAAAAGCATATGAAGACATCCATTTTAAGGTTACCATTTTGTAATAGGCAAAAATTAATTTTATTTCTTGTAAAATCTTTTTTTTCTCTCTCTCTTTTTTGAGCAACAACAAGTCCTCAAAACATATTTAAGTAAAAGTCCTGTGTTTTTGTAGGTGTTAGCAAAGCAATGTCTTTCAACATATTCAAAGATGCATATGGCTCTGATGATTGCATAAAAAACCCTATTTAATATCAAAATGTGTAAATAAACGATGCTACATTTATTAGTGGCATAGGTAGCATAAAAACATATTCATGACTTGAAAAACAGTAAACAGTACCTGAAATAAAATAAAATAATTTTAACCTATTTAATAATTATTCAATTATTTTAACTTGAACCTATTTTTTTTCAGTTTTATTTAGTTTAACTTGAAGTACTAAAATAACTAAAACTAAATAAACGAATAAAACTGATAAATAAAAAAATAATAAAAAAGCTCAATAAAAATTACGAAAACATATAACAAAATGACTAAAACCTTAACTAAAAATAAAATGAAACAGAAAATATAAAAATTCACAAAATTAATAAAAACGATAGTATATAAAAGTAAATATACTAAAACGAAAAATGATTCTAAAATAACACTGAAAGTGTGAATGTGTCATGAGCCTTTATTTGGGTGCTGGTAGATAATTCTCATTGAAACTGTCCATATTTATAGAACAAGACACGACAGAGAGGAAACACACAGAGAAAATGAGGGTGGTAATGAACAGCTGATTTAATGGATTCTTAAATATTATTATTACATCAAGGTCTATTAAATCATTCAAAGACTGAACACAAGCAACCAAGAACACATTCAGAGCACTGCATGATTCGATCTCATCTCTTTGCATTAGGTTGGTTAAAATAATCAGTGGTCTCCACTGGTTCAGATCTTAAGGATTGTGGTTGGCTAAACATGAGGGTGGGGTCATTGCTTATTGGGTCTTCTGGATAAGTGGCATGATGCACACCATTAAAATTCCTAATCGGACCCTCTTCTGGAACAGGATGGACTTCATTTGGTAGCTCTTGGATGGGATCCATGTGAATCTCTCCGTCCTGCTGTTTGAGGTGTTGGATGATTTCTCTGGAGAGGTAATGAGGGTCACCTGTGTGCTCATCTGAAAAACAGGTGTATGAAATCAGTATTAGAAATGAACAACTGTAGGAGAAAACTGCAGAATTATATCCAGATAAGATTTTAAAGTCTATTTCAAACTCTAATTTGAATGAAATTCTCACCGTTGAGCAGGACGAGCCGG